GAGGGGCGGGCTGGGGATGGCCCAGGGCCAGCAGGGCCACCAGGGCTACCAGGGCCACCAGGGACACCAGGGCCACCAGGGCCGGCAGGGCCAGCAGGGACACCAGGGACACCAGGGACACCAGGGCTTGGGGTCTCGCCTGTCCCCTCTGCTGCTCGGGGGTCCCCAGGCGTGAGTCGTGTCCCTGTCCAGCTGTGAGCTCTTAGGGGTCTCGGGGCTGCCAAACCCGGCCAAACCCGGACTAATCAATTCGGTCAAACCCGGACTGATTCCCCCTCCCTAGGGCTGCCAAACCCGGACTGATCAATTTGGCCAAACATGGACTGATCCCCCCTCCCGGGGCTGCCAAACCTGGCCAAACCCAAACTGATCAATTCGGCCAAACCTGGACTGATCAATTTGGCCAAACCCGGACTGATCTATTCGGCCAAACCCGGACTGATCCCTGCTGTCCAGGGCTGCCAAACCCAGCCAAACCTGGACAGATCAATTTGACCAAACTCGCACTGATCCCTGCTGTCTGGGGCTACCAAACCCAGCCAAACCCAGACTAATTCCCCCTCCCAGGGCTGCCAAACCTGGACAGATCCGTTCAGCCAAATCCAGACTGATCCCCCGTCCCTGGGGCTGCCAAGCCTGGCCAAACCCGCACGGATCCCCCCTCCCCGGGGCTGCCATGCAGGAGGACACGCTCACCCCGCGGCTCTCGGGACCCCGACATCGCCCCCAGCCCCATCATCATCCCCAGGACCCCTCTGGATGGTGCCTGCACCACACAGCTCAGAATTCCCTTCTCGGCTCAGAATTCCCTGTTCCTACAGGGCACGGCCCTTCCCTTATCTCCGAGGGGTAAATAAAGGAGGAAAATCCCTTCAGCCTCCCCTTCCACCCTGCAGGTGCTTCCTTGAGCAACCCAGGGTGGGAACAGCTTCGTGCTTATCTCAGGTGGGATTTGGAGCTTTGCAGCATCTCTTGAACTCCTCACTCTGACGGTTCCAGAGTTCACCTGCTCTCAGAGCAGGAAGGAGCTGTGGGTGTAAAAGATGGGACACAGAGAAGGGGACACACACACCCTGGCATGCCATCAACAGCAAAAACCAGCAGAACCCAATGGGCATTTTTAATAGATATAATTTATTGATTAATTGTACAGCTGTGGCCTTTTCACTACCAGCCCTTCCAATGAGGGGGAAAAGGCTCGAGCAGAGCTGTGTTTATTTGTTTGTAACATCTGCCCGGCTGGATCTGCCGGCTGGGGCTCTGGACGTTTGCAAATACATTCACTTGTCTGAGTTGTCATAGAAATGTGAGTTTTAATAGAAATATAATAAAATTATTGGAAGAAACGCTTAAACCCCAGGGGAAATTGAACACCCCAGTGGTGTGTACACTCAGCATGGCCAGACCCTGGAGCTGCAGGCTCCTGAGAACCTCTGGCTCCTGGTGATTCCCATGGCTGGGAAAAGCAGCATTGCCTGAGCCATGCCATGGCAGGGAGCCGTGCCCAGCCCTGCCTCTGTCCCACACAGGGCACCCTCCAGCCCCTTGGCAAACACTGGGTGCAGCCTCAGGGAGGTGCCTGGTGGCCTTTCCATGTAGAGCCTGGATCCAGCCAGGCACTGTGGGCTTGCAGAACTGCCGGGCACCTTCTCCTCCCCAGCTCCTGTGCCAGCTTCAGGGTCACCCTGCTGCTCCGTGCAGTGCTCCTGGGTCCTTGGGGCACCTCTGTGCACCTTCCTGGTGGGCACGGGGTGCCTCAGTTGCAGCCACACTCCTCGACGATCATGTCCTCGTGGTGGCGGACCACAACCTCGCCCCTCTCGTAGTAGAGCATGGAGAGGGGGCTCATCTTCACCGGGGAGCAGGCGGGGCACGGCACCAGGTTGGGCTTGTAGAGCTGCAGCAGACTCTGTGGGAGACACGGGAAGGGCAGAATTACCCCCTGATGGGGTGTGGGGGTGAGGGGATGAGGGGACAGCACCCTCTTACCTGGATATAGGCGTGGTTGGTGGGTTTGAATGTCTCATCCACGGGCGAGGGGCACAGCCCCTCGCAGCGATAGGCGTTGTACTTCTTGGGGTACACGATCCAGCTGCCCCAGCC